ATGAGCTTATTGAATAGCATAAGATGAGATGAAATGTGTGTATGTGAGAAATAGTAATGTTTTCCAACATATAATAAATTTCTTAGTTTGGTTTTTTTTTTTTTAAGATTTTATTTATTTATTTGACAGAGAGAGACACAGTGAGAGAGGGAACACAAGCAGGGGAGGTGGGAGACGGAGAAGCAGGCTTCCCCCTGAGCAGGGAGCCCGATGCGGGGCTCGATCCCAGGACCCTGGGACCATGACCTGAGCCCAAGGCAGACGCTTAACGACGGAGCCACCCAGGTGCCCCTCTTAGTTTGGTTTTAAAAGTATACTTTATGTGAGACACTTGTGACTTTAATGCTCTTTAGATGTAGGAAAATAACTGGAAAACAGCCCAGGAAAAACAGTGCCTGAGGTGGAAAAAGCCCAGTTGGCACTTGGTTGTTTTCCTTGTGGTCTCCTCTGCTGAGGCAGTCCCAGGATGATGCCCTGGGCAGGGCCACCCTCCAGTGGTGGGTGGGCTTGTTGTGTAAGGAAACGTGCTAAGCTGGGTGAAATAATTCTGTCAGTTAACTCAGTGTCTAAGCTCTTTTTTATGTTGAGTGTTTTAGTTTTAAAGACCAAAAGACTAAAAAAATTGGAAATAGACAGCTGGAAAATACAGCCTAACATGAAAATTCTTTAACGAAAATTAATTAGTAGAAGTTTACATATCGTAATTTTGATATACTCTTTCAGATAAAGATTCTAAATCCTTAGGGTAAAGAAAGTAAATTGCTCATCTGAGCAGAAAACACAGGCACATGTTGAATTCTAAGAACATATAAATAAAGCATGTTTGTAAGCAACTTTAAGATTTGAGTTTTTTTCAGGAGATTATAAGCAAAGATAGACTTGTAAAAGGACTTATGGCAAATGTTCAGGATCTAGCCATCTTCCCTCACAATTTAAGTGGAGTGCATGATGAAAAGATATTTTAATCACTGCAATAGTCATCTCCATTCTGGCACTTAACTGAGAAATGGCAGAAAGCAGTATTTGATCTTTCAGTTATGTGTCGGGAACAGAGTAAGTACACGCCATTTCTTGTAAAAGAACCATCCAAAAATGGCTCGGAGGTCAAGAATTTCAGAGGAAAATCACCTTCACAAAAACTTGTATTTGAAGATTTAAAATGTATGGCTGTAGAAGGTTTAGGAAGTATGTTCCAGGACTCTTCCAACTCCCAGTTGTGTGGATTACCACCATTTATCATCTGGGTCCAGTGGACCCTCTTTACTTTTTAAGTTTCACAAGTAATTTACAGGAGTAAGAATAAAGCAGTAAAGGGGCTCCTGGGTTGATCAGTCGGTTAAGCATACGACTCTTGATTTTGACTTGGGTCATGATCTCAGTGTCATGAGATCAAGCCCCGTGTCAGGCTCTGTGCACAGCACGGAGTCTGCCTGTCTCTCTCCCTCCCCATCTGCCCCTCCCTCTCTCTGTGTCTCTCAGTGAATAAATCTTAAAAAAAAAAAATGAAGGCGTAAGTTAAAATGATATTAACAATTTTGACACCTCTTTATATCAAGTAAATTTTGACCCATAAAGATAAAAAAATGAAAGAATATTGATATGCTTTTAGCAAAGTAGGATGGTGGAGGTTCTTGATGTAAAATATCGTGAATTGGAATCCTTCACGTGAGTGACCAACTGGATGAGACTACCATGCTTCCTCTTTCTCTTCAGATATATTGTTTTGTTCACTTACTGATTCCTGATTATCGTAATCTGAGACTTCATTTTTACTGTCAGTTTTGCCATCACCCTTGGCCTCAAAGTGCTGCCGTCTTTGCATTCATCTTTTAATTCATTTGATGATTGTGAAAGTCTTCACAGTCAGTTTTCTCCTCATTGCTATTTTGGGAGGAAAATGAAAAGTTCTTAATGAATTGTCATGCTGGAGACAGGCTGCAGGGGTGGTCTCCAGTGATGAAGAAAACAAAAGGGTGGTGACTTCACTGCACTGCCTCCTCGTTCTTTAGAAGCTCCCTTCTCTTGTTTTCTCAGTATTCTGGCTGTTGTTAGCATAGTTGGGAAAAACTGTTGAGTATCACGAAGTAATTCTTAGGATGATCAAGTGGCATCGTGATAGAGGAGAACAAGATTGCTCAGCACTATCTGGGATCTTAAATATACACAAGGGTCTAGTGGATCCATGTAGTAATTTCAAGATAAAATATGTTTTATTCTCTTTTTTAAAGAAGTAAGTAAATTTATTTCATTGTGCTTTAGAAGACCCGTAAGAGAGAAAATTTATGAAATATTAGTCCTCTCATGTAGTTACAACTGCCTAAAAAAGAAACAATTACAGTTGGGTCCTGCAGACCCTGATATATACCCAGAGTTAAGGTGATGCTGTGGTTAATGACCACAAAGGCATGAGAGAGATTTAGGTGTGGAATGCTGCCTTTGATTTCACATTTCAAACATAGATTATCTTTAGACATCACCCAACTTTTTTGCAGAGTCATTATCAACTCATTTTGCACAGCAGATTAAAAGCCCAGAATTACTCTGAATTCACGGGCAGAAAAACCATCAGGGATAATTTCATTGGGAAACTTTAAACTCAAGTTTGAGATGATTTCTTTTTTTTTTTTTTTTCAGATTTTATTTATTTGTCAGAAAGAACGAGAGAGAGAGGGCGTGCACACAAGCAGGGGGAGCAGCAGAGGTAGAGGGAGAAGCAGGCTCCCCGCTGAGCAAGGAGCCTGACATGGAACTCCATCCCAGGACCCTGGGATCATGACCTGAGCTGAAGGCAGACGCTTCACCGACAGAGCCCCCCAGTCACCCCTGAGATGATTTCTAAAAAGAAACTAAAAATATTGTTTCTACAAATTACTAAGGAAAAAATTTATCTAAAAATGGAAAATCTTGAAGATGAACTATTTGAACTTAATAAAAAGAGCTTAGGAAATACGCATGTGTCTGAAAGGTTAACATTTATTGAGAAACTAAAATTTAGTAATTTAAGTGCCATGCACACAGTGAAATAAGGAAGCAGAATTAATTAACTAGAAGAGCAGCAGGGTGCCTGGGTGGCTCAGGTGGTTAAGCATCCAGCTCTTGGTTTCGGCTCAGGTCATGATCTCAGGGTCATGGGACTGAGCCCCATGTCAGGTTCTGCGCTTAGCATGGAGTCTGCTTGTCCCTCTCCTTCCCCTTCTGCCCTTCCCCACCCCACAAATGAATAAATAAGATCTTAAAAAGTAAAGGGGCAGCAACATCATTAGGGAAATGAGTTGTATAAAAAATGTTTAGAGATTGAGAATTGTTTATGGAGGAAAGTGCATTCTGAACAGGTAGGAATGGAATTGATGTGGGCATTTGGATGTGTGGGCAGGAAGGCCTGAGGTTTCAGCTCTGGATATTTCTGTAAATGCTCTTCTCTGGCTCTTCCCCTCTTAGCTGGAGGACCTCAGTGGAGAGAGGACAGGGCACTTGGAGCAGCCACAGCAGAAGCTGGATGACGACCATCTGGAGCAGCCTGGGGTTCTCACAGAGGTATTCTTCAGGGTCCTCTGTTAAAGTATGAACCTTGTCAGAGGATTTCTCCCTGTTGTGGTAGAAATCCAAACCAGAGAGAGGACTCAGTATCTGAAGGACCCTGTCCCTTCAAGAGTAGAAGCTCAGAGCAAGGAAAGCTGGGTACAGAGCTTCCCCTGCAGGCCTCACTTTCTTGATGTTGCCCTTGCACAGAAGGTCTTTCTGGGGACCCTTCTGATGGAGCCCAAATCTCCCTTCCTTGGGACCTTTGATCTTTCCTTCCAGATGTTGAAGAGAGAAGGTTGCCTTTCATGCACTGAGGATAGTGGTCATGTCTGCCTTCCCTCATTGACCCATTTCCCTATTGTTGCAGTGTGTTTCCTGGGCCTGGCCTTCATTTCTCTCATAATCAGTTGTATGTATGTGTACCAGTTTTTGCCACAGGACTTGGCATGAACTCCACATGTGTTGGATTAATTACTTTTATTAATTTGTTTTGTTTTAGCATTTGGAAGGAAATTTATTAGATGCTGAATTGACTGGTTTCCAACTGTTTTGTTAAAATTCTGTATTTTAAACATTGGATTCTAGCTGGACTCAGTCCACATTACTTTAGGCAGTGAGCAAGTTTGGTTTTTAATTTGCATTATTGCAGGTGAGATCTAGATCATAGGCAGCGCCTGGAAAAATGGCCTGGAAAAATGGTTTCTGGTGGGGTCCACAAAGCTCACCTTTAAATACATGTTTTTATACTTGTTTTGAACTGTGACACAAAAACAAAAAATAATCCCTGTGACATATAGCATGTACATGGAAAAGTAGAAACTACACAAGTGTACATACAGCCTAACAAGTACACAGTAAATACCACATGATCCTCCTGCAGGTAAGACACAGGACAGTGCTGGACCTGCTACTGTCTTCCCTTAACCCTGAAGTCAACTCCATCCTGATTTCTGTGGCAGTTATGTACACAGACTTTGTATAAATGTATCAGACATGGTGCTGGTGTTTTTTTATCCTTTCCCTTCCAACATCTTTGCATCCTTGTGTTTTAGATGTATGTCCTGCTAAACAGTGGGGGATTGATTTTTAAAAATTATTCTGACAGTCTTTGTCTTTTTAGTGGATAGTATAATTCATTTATGTTTAATGTAATCACCGATGTGTTTGAGCTTATGTTTCATTAGGCTTTCTGTTTGTTTCCTTTTTTCTCCTTTTGCGGGGGCAGGGCTTTGGATTATTTTTTATGAGGATTTTTTTTGATTCTCCCTTTACCCATTTTGAAGTAATAATATATTCAGTTTCTATTCTTTTAATGGTGAGCTTATTACATGCAACATTTATACTTCTTTACGTCTAAATTTAATCAGTACCTTCAGTCTTCGAAAGTACAAGGATCTTAGAATACTTAAACTCCAAATGTTTTTGTTATTTTTTAATTATAAAATACACTTACCTTAAAATTTACCATCTTAACCATTTTTTTTAAAGACTTATTTGTTTTAGAGAGAGGGCATGCAGGAGCAGGGTGGAGGGACAGAGGGAGAAGGAGAGAATCTCAAGCAGACTCCCCACTGAGCGCAGAGCCTGACACGGGGCTCCATCTCAAGACCCCAAGATCATGACCTCAGCCAAAACCAAGAGTCGGGTGTTTAACCGACTGAGCCAGCCCAGGCGCTCCTTAACCATCTTTACGTGCACAGCCCAGTCGTATTAAATGAATTCATAGTATTGTGCGACCATCTCCACAGCTTCTGTCATCTTGTAAAGCTGAAACTCTGTTGGCTTTAAACGTAAGTCCCCATCCCCCCTCCCCCAGCCCCTGGCAGCCACCATTCTACTTTCTGTTTCTGATTTGGACTATTCTCGATACCTCACATAAGTGGAATTATGTAATTGGGTTTTTTTGTGACTGGCTTACTTCACTTAGCATGATATCCTCAAGGTTCATCTGTGTTGTAGCTTGTGACAAAGTTTCCTTCCTTTTTAAGGCTGAGTAATATTCCTTCATATGGTTAGACCACTTTTTGGTAATCCATTCTTCTGACGGTGGATGCTTGAGTCTCTTCCATGTTTTAGTTACTGTGAGTAATGCTGCTGTGGATAAGGTGTGCAGATGCCTGAGACTCTGCTTTCAAGTCTTTTGGGTGTATGTCAAGAAGTGGAATTGCTAAATCAGATGGTAATTCTAATTTTAATTTTTGAGGAACCTCCATACTGTTTTCCACAGTGGCTGCCTCATTTTACATTTCCACCAACAGTGCACGTTCTCACCAACACCTGTTTTCTCTTTTTTATAGTAGCCATCCTAATGAGTGTTACATTCCTTTTTGTTTGTTTAAGTAAACTCTGTGCCCATTGTGGGGCTTGACCTCATGACCCCGAGATCAAGAATTGTACGCTCCATCAACTGAGCCAGCCAGGCACCCCTGCCTTCCTTTTTTTAAAAATAATTTTTAACCCCACAGTTCATTCATCCTTCTATTTATCCAGCTATTCATTGGTTTAAATAAACTTTTAATTCAGGAATAGTTATAGATTTACAGAAAAGTTGCTGAGCTAGTACAGACCCTTCCTGTATACCCCTTACCCCACTTTCCTATCGTTAGCATTTTAGACACATGGCACGTTTGTCAACGCTAAGGCATAAACTCTGCGACGTTACTATTAACTAAATAGACTTGCTTGGGTTTCACCAGTTTTCCCACTAAGAGCTTTTTCTGTCTGGGACCCCTCCCAGGACACCACATTGCTTTTAGTCGTCTTTCCTGCTTCGTCTCCTCGGGCCTCTGACAGTGTCCTAGTTTCTGGTGACCATTTTGAATAGCACTGGTCAGTTACTTTGGGGGCTCTCCCTCAGTTTGGGTTTCTCTGATGTTTTTTCATTATTAGACTCAAGTAAGGGATTTGACCACAGATGCGATGTGCCCTTGTAATCTCCTTCTACCAGGCAGGGTCAGCCGGGTTTCCCCTTTTGCAGACTCTCCTCTTTGAAAGTGAGTCACTGACTTTTCTGGTTACTGCGGCGCGAAGAACCATGAACAGCAAAGTCTCCCGCGACACCCTGTACGAGGCAGTGCGGGAAGTCCTGCACGGGAACTGGCGCAAGCGCCGGACGTTTTTGGAGACGGTGGAGCTGCAGATCAGTTTGAAGAACTATGACCCTCAGAAGGACAAACGCTTCTCGGGCACCGTCAGGCTTAAGTCCACTCCCCGCCCCAAGTTCTCCGTATGTGTTTTGGGGGATCAGCAGCACTGTGATGAGGCCAAGGCAGTGGATATTCCCCACATGGATATTGAGGCGCTGAAGAAACTCAACAAGAATAAGAAATTAGTCAAGAAGTTGGCCAAGAAGTATGATGCCTTTTTGGCTTCAGAATCTCTGATCAGCAGATCCCACGAATCCTGGGCCCAGGCCTGAATAAGGCTGGCAAGTTCCCTTCCTTGCTGACCCACAATGAGAACATGGTGGCCAAAGTAGATGAAGTGAAGTCCACCATCAAATTCCAGATGAAGAAGGTGCTATGTCTGGCAGTGGCTGTTGGCCATGTGAAGATGACAGATGACGAGCTTGTGTACAACATCCACTTAGCGGTCAATTTCCTGGTGTCCTTGCTCAAGAAGAATTGGCAGAACGTCTGGGCTTTATACTTTATACACCATGGGCAAGCCCCAGCGCCTGTACTAAGGCACAGTTCAATAAATCCTAGTGCTACCCTTAAAAAAAAAAAGAAAGTGAGTCACTGAGCCCAACACACACTTCAAGGGAGGGAAATTATGTGCTGCCTCCTGCAGGGAGGAGTAACCATACATTCTATTTGTAATTCTTCTGTAAGATTTGCCTCTTCGCCCCCATTAATTTAACCACATATTTATATCCAGATGGGCTCATGTGTATTTATGTTATACTTTGTGTTATAATCTCAAACTACATTTTATCTTTTTTGTTGCTTCAAGTATTCCAGCTCTGGCCGTTGGGAGCTTTTTCAGTCTGGCCCCTGTGTCCTGGTGACATGCCCTGTCCTTCGTCTTATAAGCACATTGTGGCTTTCTTCAGGCCCATCTTGTGCTCTCCCTGCCTCAGTTCTGAGTCACCCATTTCTTCAAGGGGCCCTGGTTCCTTTTATTTGATGGTGTAGAAACCAAGACCTGGGCGCTGGGTGTGGTCACCGCTTCTGGGTGGCTCAGCGGGTGTGTGTGCACACTAGTCCGTGTGCACACACGGGTCTGTAGTTAATTCTGTATGTATCTGTCCGTGTGTACACGTATTAAAGTAAGCTCGCGTGCACCCCGCCGTCCCCGACTCCAGTGCAGCACCACAGGACCCCCCCTCACAGAGCAGCCCACCCCTGCAGGTTTCCCTGTGCGCCCCTGGCTGTCGGCCTCCCCTCCCCTCCGGCCCCTGGTGACTGCCCACCCATTTCTATTCTGTACTCTTGCCTTTTCTGTGGTACAGACGGAATCCTAGAATCTGTAGCCTTTTGGGTCTGACTTTTGAATCATGTAGCATAACAGATATAAGATTCAGGCAGACTGTTTCTATATCAGAGCTCCCTTCTCCTCACTGCTTTATTGCATGGATGTGCCTTTTGATCTGCTTACCTGGTGAAGGACAGTGTCTTTGCTTCCACATTGTGATGCTGATGTAAGGAATTACTTATTTTTTATTTTATTTTTTTTTAAGATTTTTTATTTATTTATTTGACAGAGAGAGAGAGAGACAGCACGAGCAGTAACACAAGCAGGGGGAGTGGGAGAGGGAGAAGCAGGCTTCCCGCCGAGCCGGGAGCCCGATGCAGGACTCGATCCCAGGACCCCGGGATCATGACCCGAGCCGAAGGCAGACGCTTAACGACTGAGCCACCCAGGCGCCCCAATTTATTTTTTAGTGGTCAGTTCTTGTTTAGGGTTAGTATCTTAGTTCTGTCTTCTTCATCCTTTATTCCTTTTCTTCTGCGGTGGGGCCGCGCCCCTTCTGTCTGCAGAACACGCGTTAGTACTTCCTCTGGCAAGGCCCTTCTTAGGCCAGTGCCCCCAGGTGATGTTTTCCTGAATGTATTTTTGGTTTTTTCCCTTTGTTCCTGAAAGATAGTCCTACTGGTGTGGACATTTAGGTTGGTGGTGGGTGTGTCACGTGCTGGGTGTTTGTCCAGCTCTGCCCTGGCTTCTGTGTCAGCTGTCGGTCCGCTGTTCTTTTGCCGCCGCCGCTTTGTTGCAGACTTCTGTTTGCTGCCAGCAGGCCTAAATGTGCACTTCTGTTCTTTTACTAGAGCGACGCGGGATCATGGGGTCTTTCTCAGTCTGTGGCTGATACCTTTCGCTTCTGTTGCTTCTAGAAAATTTCCAGGCAGTATCTCCATGCATAGTGTCTGGCCCTTCTTTTCTCCAGGGCCTGAAATTCCAGGGAAGGTTTTCAGAGCTCCTCTGTGTGCACCTGTCCCGTCTTCCCTTCTTTTGGTGGAAGATCTCATCTGGGTTCTCTCTTCCTTCACTGACTCTGCTCTTAAATCCGTCTGCTGAGTTGTTGATTTTGTCTTTGCTGTCTGTATTTCAGGACATTCTGTTTGGATTTCTTAAAGACAGTGATATCGTTTTGTATTATGTAATGTTTCCTGGAGATACTTTGAAGCTGCTTTTAAGTGTAACTGTATCTTTTTATGAGCAAATTGGTCTGAATTTTGCCCAGTATTTAGAGTGCGGCTGTTCTTCACTGTAAGTTATCCGTATGGCTTGGGGTTATTCTGAGCTGCACACCTGTGTGGGACAGTTTGTGGGTGCTGTGGGAGGTCCTTTTTTCTTTAATATTTTGTTCTCCAGGTACCTGTTACCCTTCCTGGAGTAGCCTGTTTTGTGCTCACTTTTAGTGAGGTGTTTGTGCGGTTTCCCTGAGAATATCTGTATCCTGGCTTGTGCGAGCCCCTCCAAATGGGTCCCAGATTTGTATCCGATTGGTGTCCCGGGAATAGCCCTTTGCTAGGATGGATTTTTTTTTTTAAAGGTTTTATTTATTTGATAGAGCACAAGTAGGCAGAGCGGCAGGCAGAGGGAGAGGGAGAAGCAGGCTCTCCGCTGAGCAGGGAGCCTGAGGTTGAGGCTTGATCCCGGGTCCAGGAATTGAAGGCAGCTGCTTAACCGACTGAGCCACCCAGGTGCCCTTGCTAGGACTTATTTTTAGGTCAGTTTCTTTGGGGATTTCTGTATCCCATGGCATGTATAAATTTGTCAACAAGTATGAGCAGGCCTGGGTTTTAATTTTTCAGGAGAGACGCCCCCACCTCGCCTCCTCTGCCTCCGCACTTGGAGATGGGTGAGCTCCCTGGCCTTCCCGCACTCGGGCAGTGAGGGTATGTGTCCTGTCCTGCCGCACAGGCCTTCAGGACACCTGGCTGTGTCCGACAGTCTCATTTCTAACCGCCCTCCCGGCAAAGCCACCGATTCTGAGAGCGTGTAGTGCTCCCACGTGTCCCTGTCTCCCTAGATTGTTCTACGTCCACATCCCTCCTCTCTGGCACCTGGGCTGTTCCCTCCCTTAGAACATTTAGAGTCACTTTTGTTATACTTTATCCAACAATTCTGATGTTTGTAGCAAAAATGTTTTAAGGTTCTGCCTTTTATCTTTAAAACTGGACATTCCTACATCACCTTTTACCATTGGAAAAAGCCCTTTAATGTGATGAAGCATTCATAATGATGTTTAATGGGCTCTGACACTCCCCTTGGAACAGTTTGCCTCCACGTTGTGGGCCCTCACAGATAGAGGGGTACTTGCGGGTGCGTCTTCCCAGCAGTGCTGGGTGCTTCCTGGGTATCACTGACATGTGCAGGGAGCAGTGGGAGCCTCTGCAGGGGTGGGGATCAGGGCTGGGAAGGTCTCAGAGGAGCAAAAGGAGGGGAGGCAGAGCTGGTTCAAGGGTGGGGGTGCTCCCTGGTGCAGGAGGCAAGTGCCAGGTGGGACAGCAGGAGGGACTGCCCCCAAGGGCAGCAGGTGCACTGAGTCTTTCAAGGGAGGGACAAGGTTGGATTTGTTTTCTGAATGCATCATCTGGTCTCCAAGCCAGTGACCTCACATTAGGCCGAGTGACCATGGGGGCCAGTCAGCTGCGCTCATGGGAATGGAGGGATGTCAGGACCGGCCTTGGGCTGCTGTGCGGTCTCTGTGAGGGGAGGCAGGAGTAGGAGCACTGTGAGGGTTTGGGGGTGCTGTTAGGTGGATAATGTTGGAGGAGCCCTAGCTTGGACAGGAAAATTCGGTTCGCTTTGAGTCTAAGGTGCCTTGTAGACAAGCCCCAGAGAGAGGTCTGGGCTGTCACACAGGGGAAGCTGGGAGGCTTGTGGCTGTAGCAGCCTGCTTCAGGTAGGGCGTGGTCCGGGTGGGGTGGGGGCTTGGGGGGGGTGTAGGGGAGACTGGGATGCTCATAGAGGGCCTGTAGCTTTCCTTTTCCCTTTGGATTGGTGATGTTGAAAATGTTCCCAGAGTTGGGAAATTTTTTTTAAGTAGGCTGTGAGCCCAGCAACAGAGCCTAGCGTGGGGTTTGAACTCACAACTCTGAGATCAAGACCTGAACTGAGATCAAGAGTCTGACGCTTAACTGACTGAGCCACCCAGGCGCCCCCAGAGTTGGGAATATTAAGACGGGAACATTTTCTATGGCTTTTGACATATGTTGTCAAAATAGCTCATAAGAAAAAGTTACACCAACTTTTCTGTCATTGACAGCGGTTGTTTCCCCATGACCTTGGTGACATTGCGGATCAATATTATCACCAACTTTTGCTGATTTACTAGCTATAAAATGTTTCAAATTTACATCTTCAGGTTCATTCAACTTTTATTGGCACCCGCCACTTCCAGGCATTTTACGTACATTACCCCTCCCGTAAGTATCCCTTACGTACATTACCCCTCCCGTAAGTATCCCCAGAGACAGCGTGGGGAGCTCACACTGCTGTCCAGTATCAGCACCTGCAGCGGCCTCTCTCTGCGGTTTTCCACTTTACCCTCAGCCACTTAAACAGGTTGAATGTTCTTTCATAGTTATTTTTATTGAGATATAATTCACATATACGAAATTCACCATTTTAAAGTATATATATCAGTGGTTTTTAATACAATCACTTTATTGTGCAACCATCACAACTGTCTAATTCCAAAGCATTTTCATTACCCAACAAGGAACCCCATGCCCATTAGCAGCCATTCCCCATTCCTCTGCCCTTGCAGCCCGGGCACCCACCAGCCGGCATTCTGTCCCTGTAGATTTGCCTGTTTGAACATTTCATATTCACACCACACAGTATGTGTCTGGCTGCTCTTATGGAGTCTAATGTTTGGAGGTTATCAGCGTTGTAGCTTCTCTTTATGGCTGACTGATACCCCTGGATGGCTTTTCCACATTGTGTGTATGCTTCCCCTGTTTGTGGACACTTGGGTTGTTCCCACCTTCTGGCAGTTGTGAGTAGTGCTGCCGTGAACACAGCTGGGCTCAGTTCTCTCTGGTGTGTCATAATTGTTCTTAGTGACTGCTTTCTCATGTGAATTCTCTGGGTCACATCCTTCGTGTTGCTTCTCTAGGACCATGAGCAAGAATATACACTAGTAATTGCGGAACTGATGAGAAGACAGAAGGGTGAGTCCAGCACACAGCAGCAGGTGGCCATGGAGCTCCAGCGGCTGACAGAGATGCAGCAGATGCAGCTGCAGACCCAGGTGACCTGGGATGCTCGGGCCCACATTCAGGTCCTTGGGGTGTGGCCGATCCCTGCACACTCGCCCTGTAATTTGCACCAGTGGGCTTGGGGATCTGGGAGGGTTGCAGGTAGGAGAGGTTTGTCACAGAGTGGATGGGTGTGTGCTGCAGGCTTGCTCTGTGGGGGGCCTTTGAAAGGGCAGGTGGAGAGACGTGTGAGGATGCCTGGGGCAGCGGGTCTGGCCAGGTGCCACTCACAGCACAGCCGGCGGTTTCCCTATCAGCTGCCGCTCCCGCTCATTAAACACAGGTGGTTCCGTGGTCGTGAGGGGCCTCGAGGAAGAGAAGCCGTGAACCAGGCTGTCCTGGAGGCACCACTCCCCTGGTGGCTGCCACCTACGGGAAACAGAGGGTGCTCTGGACACGCCCTTGCAGCGGGAGGGCTGGTGCGCATCCCTGCACCTCGCTGTGGCCTCCCTGTCCTGCTGGAGCTCCTTACTGGCCTCTTGGGAGACACATGTTCTTTTCCCATGGTTTCTGCTTATTGCTCTCCTTTATCTTTTTTTATTTCTTCATTTTTAAAGATTTTATTTATTTGACAGAGAGAGAGAGAGCGAGCATGAGCAGAGCAAGGAGCCCGATGCGGGGCTCCATCCCAGGACCCTGGGATCATGACCCGAGCCGAAGGCAGATGCTTAACCGACTGAGCCGCCCAGGCACTCCCCTTTTTCATTTTATTTTTATGCTTTTTTGGTGTCCCTTAAGTGCTAAGTTCCAGACATGTTTTTCTGTTGTTTGTATTAATTGGGAATAAGGGATGCTTCCTGGAACCCTGGCCTTCCTCCACTTTCCCCAGGGCAGCGGAAGGAGCACAGATTCCCCATATCTTAGCTAGGCACAGAAGTGTCTCCTTTGTCCCCTCTGCCCACCTTCCAGAGCAGTGAAGTGCAGAGCTCGCTCGTCTCTGGTCTGGAGCGTGGGGTTGCTGGTGGGGTCATTAGCTCAGCTGCTGCTGGGCCCTGCTTGGCCTCACATTTGCCCTCGTTGGCAGTGACTGTCCCGAGCCTCCTCCTGTCTGTGTTCTGGTTCTCGTCCCATGGTTCCGGTGGGGGTCTTGCAACACCTGGAATGGCTGCTCACCGGGCTCCAGCCAGGATGGGCCTATGGGCTGGGGAGCCTGCCTGAAGGGAGGTTGGGGCCTCCTGCGTGGCCACTGGCTTTGTGTGGCCTGTGTCCTCCAGGAGGAACGGCCCCAGCCATCTGCAGAGCTGCAGTTTAGGTGGAGGGAGAGCACATGTGGGCTGGAGGGGCTTCAGGATAGGATTGGGTGGCTGTTTTAGGAGGTTGGCGAGCTGCCAGGCTGTGCCCGGGCTGCCGGAGGTCCTGCGGGGAGCTGGCCGGTGCTGCAGCACGAGGCTCGGGAAGCAGGTGTAAGAGCCTGTGGTGGTGGTGGGAAGGGGTGCTGCTGCAGTGTCTTGGCAGACACGGACACGCCAGGCAGCGTGCTGGTGCTTTCCCCAGCCCCCCAGAAGCCCCTCTCTGTCCTGCAGCCGGTGCCTTCCCTGGAGCTGGAGGCGCTGCGCCTGAGTCTGAGCAACATGCACACGGCTCAGCTGGAGCTGACGCAGGCCAACCTCCAGAAGGAGAAGGAGACGGCGCTGACAGAGCTGCGGGCCATGCTGAACGGTCGGCATGCCCAGGAGCTGGCCCTGCTGCGGAGCAGGCAGCAGCAGGAGCTTGAGCTGACCAGGGAGCAGCACGCGCGGGAGCGGGAGGAGACGGTGCGGCGCTGCAGCCGGGAGACAGGTACGGGGCTGCAGGCTGGGCGTGGGCTTCCCCGTGACTTGTCTGCGACATACAGGCCCCTACTGCTGGTTCTGGGGAGGCAGGCAGGGCCCCCATCAGGGGCGTGTCCCACCCAGATCTCCCTGCCCGCGCACGAGTGCCGTGCGTTCGGGGCCCTGTCTGTCTCCTGGGTGGAGCAGTGTGCTTCCTGCTCTGTGGGGCTCTGCTGTCCCCTTGCCTTCTGTCCGCTCGTCCAGTGGGCTTGTGTTCATTTCTGAAATGGTGTCACGTCATTGGAGGTGATCTGCTTATGTACTGGAAGTTTCTGTGTCCACCTCATTGACGGGACTGTGTCTGTGCCTGACCCAGATGCTCCTGGACACAGACCCCCACATCCCACAGGCTCCTCACTCTGCTCCCAGTGGGGCCACGTCGCTCCCAGTGGACAGCTTAGGCACCTTTCCTTTGGTGGTTCTCTGGCCTAGACTGAGCTCTTTATTTGCATCTAAGATACAATTTTATGTTTTAATGGTTTTTCCCTATTTTTTTGTTAGTCACTACTTTTGTAAACAGTTGTGTAAACACCAGCTTGATTGTGCTGTAATTCACATACCATACAATTCTCCCATTTAAAGTGTGTTTCAGAGTCATGCAAACATCCCTACAATCTAAGGTTAGAAGATTCATCCCCCAGAAAGAAACCCATGCCCATGAGCAGTCATCCCAATTTCTCTGCTCATCTGCCTGTTTCTTGAGTTTTTCATTTGAAAAATGAAAGCAGCGTGTGTGGCCCTGGATATGTTGAAAGTCTTCCTCCTCCGGGTCCTACCCCCAGCCCTCAGAGGGAGCCAGTCTTCTCGGGTTCTGGGGATACTGTCCCATGTTTCTTCATGTAGATTCAAATAAACATAAATAAGTAGTTTTATGTCCCCCCATTTTTGCTCATTTTTGAAAATACAAAACATGTTTTACCTTGGGCCCTTTCCTGTCCTGTTTTCTCTGTGCTCACCCCCGGAGATGGGAACACACAGGGGCGCATGCCTGCCCTCTGCTCCCTGAGGCTCTGCCTTGGGCTGGGCCCCTGTGACCTCCCCTCAGAGGTGGTGCCTGGCTTTTGCTTGAGCTCTGGGCTTGCTCAGGCCCCTCACCTTCCACGTGTGGCTTTGGCTGGCCCCAGCTGCCCCTTGACCCTTTCCTGAGGCCCCTGCTTCTCTTCCTGGTGCCCACACCCCCAGGTGTGCACACCTCTCAGTCCATGTCAGGTGACGCCCACTGGTCCAGCCTCCTTCCTCCTCTGCACTCCCAACACCTGGTACCTCTTTTCTTGTGGTTCTTCCTTGGGGCTCGGGAGCTGCCGGGTCCTAGAATGTCTTTGCCTGTCTCTCTTCCATACCTTGCCTGGAGTCTGGCACGGCAGGAGCCTGGACTACAGGCCCAGGGTGTGTGAGGGCTGGTGTGGGCAGACAGACCAGAAGGGGGACTTGGGTATAAGGTGCCCAGGGACCCCCCAGCTTGGTGGCTGTCAGGCTGGCTGAAGGCTCCGTCCTTGCTTTGGGCAGGAATGTAATTCGTGCGTTAACGTCACACGTGGAATTCGCGTTCCCTCACAGACCCGCCCTGTCGTCCTGTGAGTGTTGGCGAGTATTCCTGTGGAGCGGCCTGTGCGTGCCGGCAGCCTTCTCCCCTCCAAGTGGTCAGACTCTCTGATCCGATCTGCTTTTACGTTTTTCTTGCAGCCGAGCTGAAGGAGAAGCTACAGGCAGAAATGGAGAAGAACGTGAGGACGATAGAGGTAGACGTGGTTAGAAATGTCGTTCTGGGTGTGTGGCATCTCCCCGTTCCCTCCATCCCTCCAGCTTGCCTGGAGTCCCCACGAGAAAGCCCCTCACCTGATTCAGACAGAATCCAATCAAAGCTTTAATTGAACATGCAGGTAGAAAATGCATTGCCTTTTGCTTTAGAGGAAAAGCATCCTGTTCTTTGGACAGTGTGAATTTGTCAGCACAGCTTGTTGGGTGTTTCATGTGTACTTGTTCTGTAACGTGAAGCTCTTTTGCACCCTCAAGTCTGCTCCCAGGTGGCCTCCCTGTGCTCCGGGACTGGCGGACGTCCCAGGGCAGGGAGGTACCCCGTGGCACTGAGTAAAAGTGTGGGGTGCAGGTCCCAGGCACCTCGGGGGCGCTCGGAGGAGGGGGGCAGAGATGCTGTGCGGGCGACACCACAGCCGGCCCCACGTGCTGGGCTAACTGTATGGCCTGTGCTGGTGCCACTGATCTCGCCCACAACCCTCCTGGGGAGAGAGTTCCATTCAGGGTGGGACAGAATTAGTGCCTCTGTAAAGAAGCCCCTCACTGGAGCTTTTCATCCTGGCCATGGGTCCCTTTCTCAAGGCTACATTTGTGGAAGGCCTGTTGGTGCCGGTGACAGCAGAGGAAGGGGCTGGTGAGGTCGGGGGACGTTGATGACGTCAGGGGGCACATAGGGGTGTTTAGGTCCTGGCTGCTCTGATCGGGCAGTTGGTGGAGGGCGGCCGTTAGTCCTAGGTTAGAGGCTTGTGCCCCACCCCTCTAAGCTGGACAGTGGGGACTCATTTCTTAGGGCATGTGGGACCAAGCCAGCCCTCGGCAGAGGTCAGGTGATGTCACTGTAGCGTCCTGGGTCTCTCGTGGAGCACGGGTGTGTGAATTGTTGAGCATGACCTCCGTCCACGCTTTGTTTCTGGGCAGGTGGTCCTTGCTTTCTCTGCTCCTGTCCTTGTTTGTGGTGGGGACCATTCAGCTTCCTGTAGTGACAGTCTGGTCTGGGCACAGTGACTGCCCACGCCTGGCTTTCGAATGCAATTTAAATTTTTTACCACAGATAGTCCACTCTTGGCTCATAGTCTTTTTTCTCTCCTTACTTGAATTAGAACCTGAAGCAAGAATGGGAGTCGGAAAGAGGTTTATGCTTAGAAAACCTACGCAGAGAATTGTCTGCAAAGCATCGGTTGGAATTGGAGAATTTACAAGACCAGTTTAAGAAAGAATTGGCAGAACAGAAAGCTGAATTGGAGAAGATTTTTCAAGCCAAAAATCAGGCTGAATGTGAGTTTCAAATTAAAATGAGCAGGTTTGAAGAGGGACTGAGTGCTTGTGTGGAATGCTAGAACAAAAGTCACGTGCCGTGCCAGGCTCATGCTGGGCATGAGCATCCTGCGTTTCATTGCCAGAGGGGCTGTGGGTGCGTGTCGCCCACAGTGGTGGAGACAGATGTGGGGCCCGCTGGGCGGCTCAGGCTGAGCCTTGGGGTCTCCCCTCGTTGACCACAGACTTCTCAAGCTCCCTAACCTCTCCCGAAACCTTTGTTTCAGAGATACTTGTCCATGTTCCATTATTAAATTGTTATCAAGAAAGTAATGCTGCGATTATTTATTCCTGTCACTCGGTGCCACCACGGTGAGGAGGTGGTGCCTGTCCGGGCCGCTCCCGAGGAGCTCAGGGTGCTGGGGCCTTGGGGTCTGGAAGGAGCTGTGCTCCTGCGTGGTTGAGAAGGCCACGCCCTCAGGGGTGTATGTGCTGCTGTCCAGGTGCCCTGAGGACTCTGGAGACCCAACAGGAAGCAACCCTGCAACAGTTACGCGAAGACCTGCAGTCTGAGCGCGGTCAGTACGTGCGGGACTTGGAGCAGAGACTCCGAGACCAGGAGGCAGAAAAACAGCTGGAGGTGGGCAGGGACTTCTGTATTCCAGCTGGCAAGGGAGGGGAGGTTTTAGAAGATTTTGGATGGGATTGTTTCATGTTCTGTTATTTGCTGAAACTTAAGTGGTAAATATATTTTTTATTTTTATTTTTTTAAAGATTTTATTTATTTATTTGACAGAGAGACAGCAAGAGAGGGAGCACAAGCAGGGGGAGGGGCAGAGGGAGAAACAGGCTTCCCGCAGAGCAGGGAGCCCGATGCGGGGCTCGATCCCAGGACCCTGGGATCATGACCTGAGTCGAAGGCAGACGCTTAACGACTGAGCCACCCAGGTGCCCCTTAAGTAGTAAATTTAAAGAGACTGTCGGTTTTAGTAGATAGAGAAGTAAGGATAGAGTTTGTGGAGCTGACCTAACAGTTATGCTGGATCGTACGCACATAGAATTTGTATTTTTTACCAGTGCCCCTGAGACCCAGACTCCAGACATTAGGGGTCTAAGGCCATGTTCTCTGACCATAACCCTAAATAAGCACAGAAGTCCTGAGAAGATTTAGCCAGAAACATTTCTGCTGCTTGTGTATTCAGAACTCTTTTCCAGCATGACACCACATACCCACGGTGCAGGGTGTGGTCAGATCTTACTCAGACACCGAGGGCTTCTGGCCGAGGACCGTCAGTGCCCCAGGCATCAGGCCAAGAAGTCAGAGAGGCCGAGTCCATCTCGGCCTATGCCCGGATTTCAGAGGAGAGTCCGGAGGAGCTTGTGCTTCTGTCCCTGTGGCGTTTACACCTGCTCCGGCTGCCTCTCCTCATCACCTCCATGCTGATTCTCCCTTGCCGATGGGAAAGGAACACAGAGGGCACCTTCTGTCCTGTCCTGTCCCTGCATGAGGCTGGTGGGGCCATCCATGAGGCAGCAGGCTGACCTCAGGGCCACTGTAGGCCAAAGCTCCCACGTCCCGTGTCCCCTCTGGCAGGGCTTGTCCTTCAGCCCCAGCCCTGCACACTTACCCACCCACTTAGTGCTGTGGGCGACTTGTGGCCTGACCCCGGGCCCCCCGTGAAGACGGTGGTTGCTGCTTTCAGCTCTGTGGGTGCAGGGTGGGCTGCCTCTGTTCACCCCTGAAGAGACCGTTTCCAGGGGGGTTAACTGAAAAATGCAGAGAAAACCCCAGCATGCCACAGGATGGGGAGGGAGGGCCCCTGCGGTGGACAACAGAGGGGCCCCCGGCAACCTGGGAAGGAGTCCAGCCCTCCCTCCCCTGACAAGTTAGAGGGATGTGTGTTTAGGACAACGGAGAAAGTTTCCGTCCTCACTCAGTGGGGGGGAAAACAAGACTACAAGCAGGTAAAGGCCTGTTAGAAATGAGCTGTAGTCTCTCTCTGCTGCCGCTGTGGTGGTTTTTTCTTGGCTGCAGGTTTGGGGTTTCGCCTTGCGTGCCCCCAGAGCTGGGTGCAGACCTTCTGGGCTTGGTCTCAGGCGGCGTCTCACACTGTTGCCTTCCTTTTCCAGTTAGAGAGCCTCCGGGCGTCCTACGCAGAGCTGAAGGCTCAGTCGCAAGAAGAGCTCCGGCGCCTTTGGTCTCAGCTCGAGTCTCCCACACCCGACAGAGAGGACTCGAGTGGTGAGGAGTTTCATGTTGAAAGTTCTGTGTTTTTAATTGTTCAAATCCCAAACTAGGACTTAACAATTGTAGCAGGCACAGAAAGAGTGATTTTATAAACTTCTTTGAAGATTGGTGTGTGGTTTTAAGGTGGAAACTTGAGGGCCTTGGTTTCATCTTCGAGCAAGTTAGCTGAGTAACGGCTACAGAATCGTGATTTTTCTCATGTTCCTATGAGGCAGTTTGCGAGCATGAGATGGATAAAGCTTACAGCAGGGCTGGCGTCTACCGAGAAGCCGAGTCAGGGGGCATTTGGGGGGAGTGCAGGTGTGCCTTTCCACGCGATGCCCCGTGAACCCTGGGGCAGGTGCTGTCAGGCTCCTGTGGCCCCGAGGGTGATGTCCAAGTCCGCAGGGCCCAGCAGCTCACCTGGCACCTCCTACAAGACCCTCTGTAAGAATAGTCCCCACCCGTGGACAGCACCTTCAGCTGGGGAAGTCAGGAGACGCGAGCGAGATAGGCGGACACGTGTGTTTCTACTGCTGCTCTCTAGGTGGGGCCTTTTCAGTCTAGGGGTCCCCCTTGCTGGGGGCAAAGAGCAGGGTTATGAAGAAGGGCCAGAGACCTGTGTGGTGGGTGAGGCCTCGCCTGTCTGCTCGCGCCTGTTTGTTGAAGGCGGCGGGTGCAGCTCACGGCTCTCCTGAGCTCCTGAGCAGTCAGCTCTCACGAGGCCCGTAGGGGAAGCCTCGCCCTGGCCTCCGGGGGTCCTTCCAGGGATATTTGTCTTGAAACTTATGGGTAGGGGCCAGTTTATATCCACGTTATTTGAAAGCTGATTATTAATTATTGTTAAGCAGCTTGTAGCATTTTCTTGCTGAAAACAGCAATGGTGATGTGTTTTCTCGAGGTCAGTGTGTATTACTATTCTTTTGCTCTTAATGAAACATCCCAGATTTAGTGGCTAGAAGCCACACGCATTAGCCGGCAGATGTCATGTAGGTTGGAATGGGAGGGCGTGCCTGGGTTTTCTGTCCAGGATCACCCGCAGCCGGAATCAGGGTGTCGGCTGAGCCTCGCTGTGGCTCACTAAGTCCCTGCGGTTGTAGGGCCGAGGTCTTGTTTCCTTGCTGGCCGTTGGCTGGGGCTCTCAGGTCCTGGGGGCCGCCCACATCCCTGCCCTGTGGCCCGAGCCGCACGTGGAGTACCTCTCACACTTCTGGCCTCTGACGCCTTCAGCACCAGCCTGGGAAAGCACTCTGCTTCCAGGGGGCCCGTGGGATCCGCTGAGGCCGCCCAGGCCACCTCCCAGTGTGAGGCGCCGCTCAGCGTAAGCCACGGAGGGGTCCCGCTTCACCTTCACAGGTGCTGGGACTGGAGCTCTATCTGGAGTTGAGGTCTGCAGTGTCTCCTGATGTCTCCTCAGTGTTTCGTCTGAAGGTGACTGCGTAATTCCTTCCCATTAAAGAGTTCCACGACCAGCTCCCGGCCCTCACGCCTCACGGGGAAGAGCTAGAGCGCCTAAAGCGAGACTTCCAGCAGCAGTGGCAGCGAGAGAAAGCCGAGCACGAGTCTGAGCTGGAGCAGTTGAGAATTTACTTTGAGAAGAAATTAGAGGAGGCTGAGAAAAGCTACCAAGAAGACCTGATTGTGTTACAGCGGCGGCTGCAGGTGAATGAAGAGTCTCTTCTGGAGTCTGTGGAAATCAGGTGCATAAGTCCTTTTCATCATCAGCGTGTTTTCGAAATGTGGGAACCTTGAGCTGAATTGAAATCTGGTTATGTTTATAATTTCATGCCAGTGGAGAGCAGGAGCCTTGTAGGTTTTAGAAACACAGCTTATGTTTGGGCCTCCAAGCAAGAGAGCATTAAGGCTAGGAGCGGCCCATGACCTGCGGCACCCGGGGTCCCCTCTGCTCCCTCACGAGGTCCCACCACGTGGTCACACAGACATGGCCTGCTCAGCCGAGGGCTCCTGTCCTTGATGGGAAGTAGGATCGCCGTGGTGGGAGCAGGGAGGAGAAGGGGCATGTGAGGAGGTTTTAAAGCACATTTTCTCTTAGTCCACCCAGTGTGTCTTTAGAAGAGAGGTCTGAGGAAGAAAGAAGAGAACCCTGCGATGGACTCCGCCTTCAGCCTGAGGTGACGGGCCCTTCTGTCCTTCGTTGACGGGAAATGGACATAGTGTCCGTTTCAGGTGCACAAGGTGCTGACGTTTGTGTGTGTTGTAAGTGACCGCCACAGCGGGTCCACTTAATGTCTGCCAGCACCCAGGGCTGCAGAGTTTCTTTTTCTTGTGATTGAGAACTTTTAAGATCTACTCTCTCAGCAGCTTTCAGGTGTACAGTACAGAGTTTTTATCTGTAGTCACCGTGCTGCGCACTCCATCCCCAGACTCTGTTTTGTAACGGGAGGTTCGTATGTTCTGACACTTTCTCCCATTCTGTCCACCCCACCCCCACTCTGTCGGCCACCAGTCTGTTCTCTGTCAGCTCAGTTTTAAGATTGCACATGTAAGTGAGATCACGTGGGACGTGTTTTTCTCAGACTGACTTATTTTGCTTACACCCTCGAGGTCCATCCACGTTGTCACAAATGGCAAGATCCCGTTCTTCTTTATGGCTGAGTATCATTCCACTGTGTACACACCGCGTGTTCTTTATCCGTTCGTCAGTCCGTGGACACACGGACTGCGAGCACTTGAGATGTTGTCAGTGTGGCCTTCCTGTCACCCGAGGTTCCCTCTTATTTGATGGTGATGCCTTGTGGTGTTGGTAGCCCGGGTCTTGTGGCCACCACCCTGGGCAGGTGGCGTGCCGTGATGGACTGTGGCGGCCCCGTGCACGTGCTCTGCCCCAGTGAGCACAGCTTCGGCGTCAGCATCTCTTGGTCTCAGTCGCCTCGGGTGGCCATCATGAATATACCACAGACCAGATGGTTGAACAGCAGAAATTTGTCATCTCAGTCTGGAGGCTGGAAGTTGGAGGGCAGGGCTGGTTTCTCCTGAGGCCTGTTTCCTCGGCTTGTGGTTGGCCGCTCTCGAGCTGCCTGTTCGCGTGGTTCCTCCGTGCACATGCACCCCTGGCGTCTCTGTCTCCAGATAGTCCCATTCTGAGGTGCTGGAGGCTCGGACTTGGACCTGTGAATTTTGGGGACCCAGTTTATCCTGCTTAGCAGGCCGCTTCCAGTTTCCCATTGTTAATGTCCTTTGCTAGAGCTGTCTCTGCGTGTGACTTTTTCCTGGGGACGGGAGTGCGGCGTGCGTCCCGCTGGGCGCGGTGTGGCCTCTGCAGCAGCAGAGCCCTCATACCCAGCACAGCAGTGCCGCGGGGTCCTTGTCCATAGCCCTGTCCTGCCTTCTGGGGCCCCGCCCACTGTCGTCCTGTAGTCGCCCTGCCTTCTCCTTGGGCGGTCCCTGCTGCCTGGGGAGCAGGCGTGTGTGCGCACGCGGCCCCTCTCTTTGCTGCACCTGTGCCCTCGGTGGAGACTCAAGGGTGTGTGTGGGGAGTCCCTGGGAGCCTGTTCCGTTCCGCTGGGCGTGGCGGGCGTGACGTCTGGCTCGTGTTCTCTGTCCTCTCTGCCGCGCCCTGGAGGCCGCCGTGCTGTCCGTCCGCTGACTGTCCCTTCGTGTCTGGGCTGCTAGTGCCGCCAGCCCCTCTGAGGTCCCTGTGAGTTCCCTGGAGTTTTCAGTGAGCAGTTCACGTGCGTGTGTGTCCACTTTCCATGCTGGGGCGGGGCCTGTGTCTGAGAATCTGCCTTCGCTCCCAGGAGGCCGGTCTTGTCACTGCTCTTCTTCAGTGTCCTTGCAGCTCTTGTGAGCCTTGTTCTCAGTTCTTCAGTTAAATTTCTTGTTTCTGTTGTCATTTTTAATTTCTAGGGGTTCTGCTTTCTTGCTGTGCCCTGTCTTGCCACGGGCACAGCGTTCTCACGCGCCTCTCTGGAGACTGTCGGTGTTGAAGCGTTTCTGCTGTTTCCCGTGTGTCCCTGCTGTCCGTCTGTCCGTTTGGGTGTCTGTGCTGTGTGGACGTCGGGGTCCCCTGTGTGCTCTGTGACTGGTGGCCATGTCTTCACAGGTGGTGTGAGGCCTCCCTGGTTTCGGGGAGACCAGTGGCAGAGCTCCTCCTGGGCTCCTGTCTTAGATGGCCCCGTGCCCCGCCCCCCACGGCCAGCCTCGGCCCGCGGGCCCTGGGTGCGTGCAGCCCTTCTGTTGCCTGGGCCCTGGACGTTGCCGTGATCGCTGACTTTTTCTTCCGAGGTTGGTCAGCTTTGGTGTCTTGAAGACCTCTTTCCGTTTCCTCTCCTCACGGGTGTTTAAGTTAAGTTTTCCTGGTCATCGTAGCCACATTTCAGGAAGGCAGGAAAAGGAGAGGAATGGAATCTGTGAGTGTGTGCGTTGGAATGTTGGCAGGCCACCGTGCCCTCCGCAGGGTGTCTGGCTGAACTCCCCCCAGAGGGGTGTGGGAACCCGACGCACCCCCCTCCCCCGCTACCGCTGAACATTGCCTTTGTGTTCCTCGTTGATGGACAGCCAGTATCTCTTCCAGTTTGTGTTTCTTTGGTTTTAAATGAGGTCGGACCTCTTTTCGCTTGAAATTGACTATTCTCCCCCTCTGAAGCTCTCCCTCTACACCTTTGCTCTTGTGGCATTTGCCCCCCTTCCCCTGTGGTTCAGAGGGCCCACTCTGCTCGCCTTTGGACTCAGCTGTGCTCAGTCTCGCACTGGTGCTCGTGGGCCCGGGTCTGCACTTGTGGGTCCTCCCCTGGCCCTTGGCTCTTCGTCCCCTTTCTCAGAGTGCCCGGTGTTTTCCTGCATTATTTTCTGATTCTTTTATTTTGTTCTTTATTTTACTTGTTTATTTTTAAAGATTTTATTTATTTGAGAGAGAGTGTGAGAGGGAGAGAGAGCGAGCAAACACAAGTTGTGGGGGGAGGGTCAGAGGGAGAAGCAGGCTCCCCGCCGAGCAGGGAGCCTGACATGGGGCTCGATCCCCGGACTCCAGGATCATGACCTGAGCCCAAAGCAGTGCTTAACCGACTGAGCCACCCAGGTGCGCTTCTTCTGATTCTTTTTAAGTCTTTCTATTTTTCATCCACCTGGAACTTAGCTGTTGTCCAGCAGGAGGTGTAGGCTCTGAGCTTAAGACCTTTTTCCAAATGGCAAGTCACTCTTTCAGGCATGACTTGTTAAAACACAACCTCTTGTGTGCTTAGTTGTCCCAGGGGCGCAAGTCTGTTTCTGGACTTGATTCTTCCTGTCGCTCAAGTGGTTTGTTTCTATAACGATGTAAGAATTTAAATCTTGCTTTAAAAGATAATTTGAGCTTATTGTGAGCTTAAAGTTGAGGTTGATATGACTCCTCTGTGGTTTTTGAGGAAGATGGGTTTACTAGCTGCATTTTAAGGGGAACAGGAGAGTTTAGCACATGCACTGAGCCCTTTCCTTATAACCTCCCTTCCTCCCTCCTTCCCTCCCTCCCTCCCTCCCCCCTCCTTAGGATACTTGGGATGGGCTTGTTGTCAGGTGTGCTCACAGCAGCGACTAGAGACCCTTCCTTTGGGGCCCCTTCCTCTTGGGCAGGTCCGTGTCCCAAGCAGGCCAGGCATGTGTCTGACTCTGGGAGGGGAAGTGCAGTGGGGAGACACAGAGTGGGGAGTGAGGGGGCTTGGGAGTAAGTAGGCTGGGGGGGAGCCAGCCCCCACAGTGGGTCAGGGTGTGTTTGGCAGTGGCCCTGGCCCTGGGAAGGGGGTCTGGTGGTCAGGGTCTGCCTGCAGTTCAGGTCCAGGAACATTCTGATAAGCCTCCCAGGAATGGCCCACTTGGTATCCCTGCAGCTGGGGCTCAGCGTTGGGACTCGGTGAGCACCGCATGGGAGTGAGGAGGGCTCTCCAGCCAGTGGTGCGCACCTGTCTCCTCAGGGCTATGGTCTGCCATTCTCCCTGAGTTGCTCGGCCCCCTGGAGGTGAGATGCTGGGGACGAGGGAGATGGCGTGAGCATGCATGGCCCAGCAAGGCTGACATGGGAGGCAGTGATTAGGTGACGTGGTAAAGAGGCCCCTTGTAATGTTTCCTCTGTGCGATTTTCCCTCATTTGCCTACGCAGTTAGAAGAAAACCACCGGGGCCAACTAGCAGCGTTGAAGTCCTCCCTGGAAGCCCGGCAGGAGGTGGGCCTCGTAGGGACCCAGGTGTTGGAAGGGGAGCAACGTGTAGGGCTCTCAGAAGGGCCTGGCGAAGGTGTGTGCACTTCCCTGCTGCCTGTGTTGACGGCCATTCAGCCCACAGGAACCGATATGTGGGAAGGTTGGGGGCTCCCACGTGGGTTATTTGGACATCCCAGCCTCTAACTCTGCAGATCCTCCCTGGTGGTGTCCTCAGAGTTAAGGGGCTGGGCTTGGGCCTGACCAGGTGCAGCACTGGGGTCGCAGGAGACGGGGGTGGATGGAGAAGCTGAGGTCCTCCCAGTGGATGCGGCAGATAGGGACAGGCAGTGGCCCCGCTGCTGAGGAGAGCAGGTGTAAGGCCAGCCTTGGACGCGGATTCCAGGGGGAATGGACGCCGTTGCCACCCCTTGTAGCATGGAGGAGGCAAGGCAGAGGGGTCCCATGGCGAGGTTGTGGGGGTCCGGATCCATGTTGGGGTGCTTTGACACGACTGCCCGTTTTGGGCAAGGGCTCCCTTGGAGCTGAAGAGACGGGCTAAGAGGAGGAACATAGCTCCTGAGAGCCACGGTCATGTTGGCTTGGCATTTGCCTCTCTCTCTCCCTCTCCTGGCGCGGGAGAGCCTTCACAGCCGCTGCACGTGTGCTGTGGTCGCTGGGCGCTGATGGGCACACACAGGGCTTTTGTCCACTCCTCAGCTCATTCTTGAGCCTAGGAAGCTGACAAGTCCTGACTTGAGCAGCCCAGGAGGAAGCCCCCTGGCCCAGAACCACACGTTCCCACAGTTGAAAACAGTCACCTGGTACCCCAACTAACGGGATGGAGTGGGTGGTGAGTGGGTGCGGGTAGCTCAGGACAGGGCAGCTCGTTCTCTGGGCTCACCCAGGGCTTGCCGGAGTTCCAGGTGTCTGTGTTGTGGGAGGCATTGGAAGGTGAGTGTCCTTGTCTGTGCTGTGTGTGGTGTCTTCGAGGTTCGTGCCTGATTGTCCTGCCTGCCTCCTTGTACCCTCACAGAGCTTGCTCGGGTGCCTGTCCCGTGTGCACAGGATACGGCCTTGGAGGTGGAGACAGAGGTGGCGGCCAGAGTCTTGGGTTTGGAAACTGAGCACAAGCTTAAACTCTCACTTCTTCAGACAGAGCTCAAGGAAGAAATTGATGTCTTAAAACTAGAAAATAGAAATTTACATGAGAAGTTGCAGCATGAAATCCACCTGAAAGAGGACTTGGAGAGGGTAAGTGTGATTCTGGCCCATTTCCATGGCGGCAGGCTCCTGTGGAGGTCCGTGCGCGTCCTTCGCTCCGTCCCCCCTGCTTCCTGCAGCCGTGTTTGCTTAGTGCCTCCTCAGAGTCAGGACAGGGCTCCTCCCCGAGCCGAGCCAGGGTTTGGCTCCTTGTTGCTCCTTCACCCTGCCTCCAGGGTTAGGGGGCTAGCTGGGCATCCTCAGACGGGCGGCAGGCTGGTTGGCACGGCCAGCTCTGCAGGCGCTGTGCGCCCCGGTGTGCCCAGTGGTGTTGAGCCCCTGCACTCTTCTGCTGACTGTCGGTTGCGTGGCTGTAGAGTGTGCCCTGTGCGTGAGGAGAGCCCCGCCGCACCACCCACGCTGGCGGAGCTCTGGTGTGTAAGCCTCGCCTAGATTCCTGGCAGGTTTCACTGTCTGCGCAGCGCAGGGCGTGGCTCATCCCTGTGTCGGAGTAATAGCGTTGACGTAGCTTGAGCTGTGAGTCTTGCACCAGTGTCCTGATGAAGCCGTATTCCCCCACCTTCGTGTGCTTGTGGCCTGATGCTCTCACCCTGTGTTCTTTCCCGTGAAGGTCTTTCTGGATTTTCATTCTCCATCGACACTCGGTTTCATACGAAGTTATTACCTGCACGTCTCATCACAGGTCATTCTCTGAGGCATTGGTGAGGACTTGGGGCAAAGCAGAAGTAAGGATAGAGCTTTGTGCAGCGCCGTGTGGGCCGCCATAGGTGGACTCACTTGCTGGCGGTCTGTGCTTTTCAGCATGTGGCCGCCTCAGGCACCATTCAGTCAAGGGCAGACTTTCCTCCATGACTTTTGATGTTCAGGTGTGTGTGTAGTACCTTTCCTGGACCACCATTTTGTCTGCTTATATCAATGATAGAGGGGTATAGAATGATCTATTTTTCCCTTTAATTTTGTCAGTGTTTGAGTATTTTGAAGTTATTACATGCACACACATTTGTGATTGTTCTGTCTTCCTGAGAAAGTACCCCCTCTCTCTCTCCTCTGTAGCATTGTTTGCACTGCAGTTTGCTTTCTCTTTCATGAATACAGTTCTTCCAGCCTTCATCCACATTGTTTGCTTGGCATTCCCTTTTCTGTCCATTTTACTTCAGATCTCTGGAGACTGGCTGGAGTCAGTGCTGGACGCCCGTAGTTTCAGGGCTCGGTCCTGTGAGGCTGCCCCACGCCAGAACCCATTTGCAGTTACTGGGTCCCTGCATGACCTGGTCATCTCGGTCTGCCTTGGCTTTGGAGCCTGCGTATTCCCATGCCCACCCACACCTCTTTTCAGGCTCACACTGCTCAGGGAAACGGTTTACTACTAGCAGTTTATTATGAAGGATGCATGGAAGAGATGCGTAGGGCGAGGTGTGCGGTGTTAGGCAGCTTCTATGCCCGCTCCTCTTACTGCCGTGTGCACCCACCTGGAAGCTCTCCAGATCTCACCATTTAGGAGTTTTTATGGAAGCTCCATTACGTAGGCGTGTTTGATTAAATCATTGGCGGTTGGTGATTGAACTCAGTCTCCATCCCTTTTCTGTGGAGGTTGGGGTGGGGCTGAAATTTCCAACCCTCTAATCTTGCCTTGATTTTTCTGGGGACCAGCTCCCATCCTGAAGCCACCTGAGGTACCCAGCCACCTCTCATCTCATTAGTGTACAAAAGATTCTTATAATTCCAGAAATTCCAAGGGTTTTAGCAGCTGTGTGTCAGGAACTAGGTACAGAGACCACGTATTTATTTTTTAATATATTACACATATGCATAGCATATACTTGAATATTTTTTTTAAGATTTATTTATTTTATTAGAAAGAGAGCACAAGTGGGGGAGGTGAGGAGGGGCAGAGGGAGAGGGAGAAGCAGACTCCCCTCTGAGCAAGGAGCCCGACGTGGGGCTCGATCCCAGGACCCCGGGATCATGACCTGAACTGAAGGCAGATGCTTAACCGACTGAGCCACCCAGGCGCCCCTATTGTTGAATATTTTTTAAAATCAGTTCTGACAAACCCTACTTTTTTTCTTTTTTTAAAGATTTTATTTATTCGAGAGAGAGAGTAAAAGAGAGAAAGCATGAGAGGGGGGAGGGTCAGAGGAAGAAGCACTCCCTGCCGAGCAGGGAGCCTGATGTGGGACTCAGTCCTGGGACTCCAGGATCATGACCTGACCTGAAGGCAGACACTTCACCGACTGAGCCACCCAGGCGCCCCTATAGTTGAATATTTTTAAAAATCCATTCTGACAAATACTGCCTTTTAATTAGAGTACTTAGTTTGTTAACCTTTCACTTCGTTATTGATCTGGTTGGAGATAATGTCTGCCATTTTACTATTTTCTACGTGGTCCATCTGTTTTTCTTTGTGTTTTTTCTCTTTCTGTTTTCTGTGTTCTTTCTTTCTTGCCTTTTGGATTATTTGAATATTTTTAGAATTGATTTTTAATGTATCTGTTGGCTTCAAATTATACTTTGTATTATGTGTTTTAATGGTTGCTTTCGGGATTAGAATATACATTCTCACAGTCTTCTCAGAGTTAACATTATGCCATTTCAGGTGAAAGGTAAGAGTTCTATGGTTGTGTAGGTGCATCTGTCACGTTCTCTTTGTCTTTTATGCTATAATTTTTATAGGTGTTACATCTCTGGTTAAATTCCATGATATAAATTTTGCTTTGAATAGTCATAGGTACTTGAAGGAAATTAAAAGGAAAAGTAGTCTTAGATTTACAACATTTTACAGGGCTCTTTCTTTCCTCCCAAAGATTTGAGTTTCCATTTGGTATCACTTTCCTTCAGCCTGAAGCATTTCCTTTAGCCTTTCTTGTTGTGTACATCTGCGCAAGTTTTCTTTTAGCTGAAAGTCTCTATTTTACAGTCTGTCTTGAAGAAATTTTTGGCTACATTTGGAAGGCAAGATTTTTGTTCAGGATTTAAAGATGTTACTTCTGACCTTATTTCTGATAGGTCAGTGGTCACTCAAATCAGTATTTCCCTGAATGTAATGTGTCATTTTCTTTTGACCGCTTCAGAGGTTTTTCTTTTTATCTTTTATTCTCAGTCATTTTACCACGATGTGCCTAGGTGTGATTTTCTTTGATACTTTTTTCTCTCATGAAATTCTTAAAATCAGTACCTAAAATTGATTCTGACCTAGTTACCTCAGAAAATAAAAACAAAACCTTACACTCAAATGACCTTATTTTTTTTCTTATTCAATAATGACATTACTAAAAAGGTGGTCTGTTTTAGTGACTTGCAGAGAATTCTGTACATTTTTGTCTTTCCCCAGATTTGGGAGATTTTTACCAAGTATGTTCTTCAGTTTTTTATTTCTGCTCCATTCTCTCCTTTCCTCTTGGAACTCCATTTACATGGATGTTCTGTCTTTCATTTTCTGAGGTTCTGTTCATTTTATTTTTTTCTAATCTTTCCCCTTCCTGTTGGTTAAATTCTATTGATCTTCCAGTTCACTGACTCTTTTGTTAGATCTGCTTTTAAGTCCACCTAGCGAATTTTAAAATTTTAGATATTATGTTTTCCAATTCTAGAATTTCTATTTGGTTGTTCTTTTTTTCCCCCCTATGCAGTTCTTTTTAAGAATGTCTTTTTTCTTTGCCATGATTTGCTATCCTTTTACTCATTATGAGCATATTTTTCTTATGCCCATCAGTGCAGTTAGGTTATCTGCTTTTAAAACCTTTGCTGTGTCTCTCTCTTAAATAAAATCTTAAAAAAACAAAACAAAACAAAAACCAAAAAGGAAAACCTTTGTTAATTTCAACAGTTGTATCATCTTGGGGTTCTCCAATGATTGTATTTTCTTTTTAGCATGTATCATATTTCCTTTTTATTTGTATATCAACTAATTTTGGATTGTATCCTGGACATTGTGAATGATACATTGTGGAGATTGTGGATTCTATTATGTACCACTGAAGAGTATTGATTTTTTTTGTTTTGTTTTAGCAGACAGTTAACTTGGCTGGATTCTAACTCCACATTACATCTTCTCTGTGTTGGTCTGCTCTTGGAGTCTGCCCACACATGTATGCATCAGGAATCCACTTGAGATTTGGGCTAGGTTAACGCAAAGATTTTGCAGCTGCCTCTCTGGCTCTGTCCTAATGGGCTTTCACCTTTCACTTTCTACCTCCTCTGCTCAAACAAATGAGATTTTGGGATTTCTGTGTGCATGGCGTGGACAGGTAAATTGCCCAGTGCCATTTCTTTCTTCTGGGTGTCCAGCCCTTCTCCACAATCTGTCTGCTTTTAGATGCTCTCTCAGGCTTTCAGGTAGTTTCTTATATTTTTTCCAGCCTTTATAGCTGTTACCCTCTCGGAGGGTTGGCCTTATTCGAGCTTCTCAGCCATCTCCAGAAGCATGACCCCAAACTTATTTTTAATAACAATTTTTTTTAAGCAAACTGTATACCCAGCGTGGGACTTGAACTCATGACCCTGAGATCAAGAGTTGCATGCGCTACTGACTAAGCCAGCCAGGTGCCCCTTTAATGACTTACTTTTTAAATAAGGAGTTGAGGTCAGTCTTCAATACCATTTTTACTTTTGTTTCTTTTTGATGATGTTTAGTAGTTTATTGACCTACTTTCCTTCCTTTTTTGAAAATCAGGACATTTGCCTATCCTCAGCATTGTGATTAACCTCCCTTTTCACAAGATACTCTTATTAAAAGTTTAAATTTTAGTTCATCAATCTTTTGACCAGGTTCCTTGTAGATAATGGAATATGAATGAAGCAAGGCCACAGATTTGAGCTCATTACACCGTTTGCTGTTCTCGTTCTCGTGGACTCTAGGCTTTTTGCTGATGGTGGCTCTACTCTGCTGTGGTTGGCCTTCCCCTTGACTCCCCCCATTGCTGCTCTTGACACACACAGAAGGCCTTCGACGCTGTCTTTGTTTGCTCCACACATGTGTGTATGTTTTGAGTTCGGTTAGTTTTTGTCAAGACCTGCCAACTCCAGAGGTGAAGAACAGCTGGTTTGGGTGCCATTCCTGCCAGTAATCTTCTCCTTTAATTTCTTCTGTCTTAAATGAAATTATGTTATCTGTAGGTAAAATATAACTTGGTTGAAGATCACCAGGAGGAGCTGAAGAAAGCTAAGGAGAAATTACAGCTGATGAAGCAAGAATTCAAAGACAAAGAAGCAGAATGGAAAGTGGCAAGTGAGAATCTAAAGAGAAAAGCTGAAGAGGAACTCGCGCTGATGCTCCTTGACCTGAAAGAACAAGCTGAAGCTGAGAAACAGTCAATAATAAACAAGTTTGAGCTTCGAGAAATCAAAATGAGGCAACTTCAGGATCAGCAGGCAGCCCAGATCCTGGACCTGGAGGGGTCCCTAGTGGAGCAGCAGGGCCGGCTACGGCAGCTGGAGCTCGGGCTTGCAGGGGACGAGTGTCCACAGTGCAGCCAGTGTGGCCGGGAGCCAGGTGGCCGTCTGGCTCCTGCAGACCAGGCCTGGGAGCTCACCGCACTCCGCCTGAAGGAGGACTGTGCCCTCCAGCTGATGCAGGCACAGAACAGGTGGGTAGCGTTCCTGTAGCAGTGTATTAGCTGTAGAGCCGTCGGCCAGTGCCCCACCTAAGGCCTGACCCCAAGATGCCCAGCAGTGTGTGAGAGGCAGGTCCCCTGGGAGGACGTGCTGTGGGCTTCGAGCAGGGCGGGAAGGTCTGCAGGAAGGTGGGGCGGAGCGTGGTATGTACTGAGTCCCTGATACCTGGTCTTCACCCTAAAATGACAGCAGGATATCATGTCATATCATGTCCCAGAACTGAGATGTGCTGGGACAAGTCAGAGACAGTGTCCAGATCCTGCTGGTGGAGCCTGTGTTCCTTGATGGATGCCACTCTGCATGCATCTTCCACATCATTTTTGTTCTTTGCACATTTTAAAATTTCAAAAGCAAGAATTGAGACCTCACTTATCAAAAGGACACGCAGTTCATCCATATTAGTTCTCTGTGTTTTTAAAACTCAAACAGATATTTTAAAAAATAAATGTTTTATTTCCTAAAATTTATGCATACTTCCCTTAAATTTTAAATAGATTTAGAACGTGATTTGGTTCTTGGTCCCTGTCAGTGCTAACGCTTTGCAAGCCTGGCTGTCGTGACTGGGGGTGTCTGTGAGTCTTGGCGCCATTACACTTGCTGTTGGTGCTGCTTATTCTCACGTATCAGCTGCTCCCCACCATCATGAGTGAGGTGCAGGACCTTCTGATCGGGGGTCTGAGGACTCGAGTTCAGATCTCAGCCCACCATGTGTAAGCTGGATGGACACAGGCCCTGTGCTCAACCTCACAAAACCTTCGTGCTCTCGCTGTGTGGTGAGGGTAAATGCGATAATCTCTGGACACGCTTCCAGAGTTATCTGGTGAACTGACCAGGGCACGTCACTGCTAGGCAGCGTGCGCCCCGTTGAGGTTGAGGCGTTTTCAGTTCCTGGTGGGGTCCTGGGTGCTTTGATTAGAAGTGAGTCTTTCTGCCAGCCAGCCCCACCGGTGGCTCTTTTTAATTCGTGTCCCTTAATTCACAACCAGAGTTTTTCTGAGGTCTTTGTTCTTTATGGCCCTGTGGGCTCCTGCAAGCGATCCTGCTGCCCCTTCCCCGTCAAGGTCCTTCTTGCCTCGAGTGAGCGGTCACGTCTGCTTTGCCATGATGTCTGTCGGAGACACGTGTGCGGTTTCTTGCTGTGGATCCTGTGTCCTCCACTCAGTTTGTGAGCGGGGGTGCCTGGGCTCTGTCCTTTGAGCTCCTCTGGCTTCGTGTGGCCCCTTCACTCTCCACTTATTTCTGATGGTGGTCCTCTCAGGCCATTTGTGGCAGAGGGAGAAGGAGCAAGAACAGTTAAAACAAGGCAACGATGTAGTGTTTCCTGTAAGAAAGGTGGTGAGTAGGTGTTTCCAAGTGAGGTTGGTGCTCTTATGACTGTGTTTTGCTGCCCAAGTTCACTTTGCACGTCCTCTCAGGTTTTTAAAAGAACGTAAAGAAATCACAGAGAAATTCACTGCGGAACAAGATGCCGTCCTTCGGGAGGCCCAGGAGAAGCACGCCTGTGAGCTGCATCTCCTCCAGGAGAGACACCAGCAGCACATTCTGTCCTTGACGGCGGAGCTGGAGGCCCGGCACCAGGCCGAGGTGGAGGAGCTGCGGGCCTCTGTGGAGAGTGAGCAGCGGGCTCTTTCAGAGGCCCGTGTGGCTGAATTGCAGACACAGCATGCCGCGGCGGTCAGTGCTTTGGAGGCAAGACACGCGTCACACCTGGATTCCCTGGAATCGCGTCGGCTGTCTGAGATGCAGGCCATGCGGGAGGAGCACAGGTGGGCTCTAGAGCAGCTGAGAGCGGACCTGGAGAAGCAGCTGCAGAAGAAGGGTGCTTCTCACCCCAGTGCTCTGACTCAGGGGCGACACGGGCAGGCTCTGAAACGTGGCCAGGAGCTCCCGCCTGCGGAGGATGGCCTGAGGATGCAGAGGAGCGGGAATCAGGGTGAGGGTGTGAAAGCCCTGGTACCCCCTGAGCTCCCGGGAGTGCAGCAGGTGAGGCAGGTCTCAGGGCAGCTCTCTTCCTGCCGTCTGCATGCTTGTCTCTGCGAGCGTGTCTTAGGTTCTGCCATGGCGACCGGGGGCTTCCTCAGGGTGGCCACGTGGTAGGGGGTCGGGTGGACGGAGGCGCGCGCGGGGCCGCGTGGTGGGTGGAGGGAGGCGCGCGGGGGGTGGACGGTGGGTGGACGGAGGCGCGCGGGGGTGGAGGGGCAGAATGTGTCAGAGCGCCCCCAGTCCGGTCCAGCAACAGTTGCCTGTGCAAGGTGGCCTCCCCCGTAATCTCTCTTGTGCACGCTGGTCCCCGCCCTCTGCACCGCAGGCTGCTCCGTCTGATGTGGGGGCACAGCTCTGCATAAACTCTTCCACATGTGCACTCAGACCCCTCTCCCACCCTCCTCTCCCTTGTCTGTTTCGTGCTGGGTGTGCCATTCTCTTGTTCGCACACACTCACCTCTGCAGCCAGGTCACCTCTCTGACGAGCACTTCTCCGCCTGCGCAGTGCACACCCACTTCTTCCCTCCTGGCTGTCGAGCCCTGCAGCCTGCACAGAGCCGCCGAAGGCAGAGTGTGAGGGGTAGTCGTGGCTGTCGTCCCTCTTCCCTTGTTTGTTCTCCGTTGCTTCTCAGGGCCTAGAGCAGCGGGGCCTCGAGGGAGCCTGCCGAGAAGGGGGGTGATGCCCGCGGCCAGCCCCTGCTCATCCTTGCAGACGTCTTCAGGTGCAGCTGTTACGGGTGCCAGTGGCCCTGCCGTACTGTATTGGTGTGACCTGAGAGGTCAGGGCGAGGAGGGAGGATGGCAGGATCCATCCACCTGGGGTGTATCTGGAGGGTGGTGTCCTGGGAGGGCAAGGCCTTGACCTTGCAGGCAGCAGCCAAGGCCCAGATCTGTTCCAGAGGCATCTGATGGCTGGACAGAAAAAGGGTTGGGAATGATTGTACCACCTGAGGCAAGAGTTGACCGTGGCCCTCAGGAAGCATAGGGATGGGAGGGCACGGAGGGTGGGCTCAGGACCCCTCCAGGGGCACTGCTTGGGGGTCGCGAGGGGTTCCTGACGCCTCACAGGGTGTGCTGGGGTGAGATTGACCGTGGTGCTTATGGGGGTCATGGAGAGGCTGGGGCCCTTGGGGATGACCAGGGAGACATCTGGGTCTGGGCTCGCAGGAGGAGGGCGGTAGCTGAGGGAAGAGCCCTCACTGCAGGAAGGTGAGGACCGTGCAGGGCGGGCTGCCTTAGCTGTGCTACGGCAGGTGCTCCTAGGAGCCCGTGCACACTCCAGTCTCGTGTTCAGATTCCTAAACGTTGTCAGAATATGTACGAGCAATATGTCAGATTGTGTAGTTGTTCTTTTGAAGAAGTCTGACAAAGCAGTGGAATTCTCTTGAGCAGGTGAGGCAGTCCCCGCAGGCTGGGACACAGCCAAGGTCCTTGGGAACCGCTGTGGTGCTCGTGTCCTCAGTTCCCTGCGCATCTGGGCAGGATGGCGTGTGAGGGCGCTGGCTGTGCACCCCGAGGCCCTTCTGCTTCCGTGTCTTTAGGTTTGAAATACTCGTGTCTTCTGTATCTTCCCAGGAGCCTGGGATCGTGACCTGAGCCAAAGGCAGCCGCTTAACCTACTGAGCCACCCAGGCGCCCCGTCTATGGGGCTTTTTAAAAAGGACATGGCGATACGTCCTTTCTAACCCTGAAATAAGGCTCTAGTGTTCTGTGCGTCTCCTGGGTTAACAGTCCATATATTCGGTTGTGTGTGTAGCGATCATTTGCTTTGTGAAATTAGTAGTTAAACCATTTCCTCAGTGACACTTGCCAGAATGAGAATTACAGGAGATTACAAAAATAAAGGGAAGCATAAAAATGAGGTTTATCCCCATTTGTTTGGTTGAAAAGTCTGGGTATTGGCATTTTTCTTGAGATTTGCTTCTTGGACTCTTAAATTGCTTTGAATCTGGCCACTCTGGGTGGGTTTCTCACATTTGAGGGGATGAGAAGACAGAGGAGGAATGCACACACACAAACCTGTGCCCTCAAGATGGCTCAGAGAGACAGCCTGACCGCTGCGGGGAAGCCAAGGGTGCAGCTGGTTGTTGAGGAGTCGCGTGAATAGTCTCCTCCTCACAGTGTGCTCTTACTCACCTTTCATTAAGAGAGGATGAAGCCCCCTCTGTGTTACCCTGCCATGTCTCCTTAACCCCCTCAGTGTCCCCCCGATCACCTCAGTGTCCCCGCAATGTCCCTTTAACCCCCTCAGTGTCCCCCCGATCACCTCAGTGTCCCCGCAATGTCCCTTTAACCCCCTCAGTGTCCCCCTGTGTCCCCTTAACCCCTGTCAGTGTCCTCCCAGTGTCCCCCTGACCCCCCCATGTCCCCCTGTGTCCCCCTAACCCCCTCAGTGTCCCCCTGTGTCCCCTTAATGCCCCCAGTGTCCTCCCAGTGTCCCCCCAGTGTCCCCTTAATGCCCTTAGTGTCCCCCTAACCCCCTCAGTGTCCCCCCAGTGTCCCCTTAATGCCCTCAGTGTCCCCCCAGTGTCCCCCCGATCACCTCAGTGTCCCCCCAGTGTCCCCCTGACTCCCCCAGTGTCCCCCCAGTGTCCCCCTAACACCCTCAGTGTCCCCGTGTCCCCCCGATCACCTCAGTGTCCCCCTGACTCCCCCAGTGTCCCCCCACTGTCCCCTTAATGCCCTCAGTGTCCCCCTAACCCCCTCAGTGTCCCCCCAATCAACTCAGTGTCCCCGCAGTGTCCCCCTGGCCCCCTCAGTGTCCTCCCGTGTCCCCCATTGTCCCCCCGGTCCCCTCGGGTGCAGTGCTGAGGGGCCATCACAGGGGGTCAGGTGGCCTCCAGGAAGATGCTTCACTGCAGGGAGGTACAGCAGTGGACCTGAGTTGGACCTGCATCATTCACAGTCCTTGGTGCAGCAGTGGGGTGTTGGCACATTGCGTGTGCCTGGTCCCATGAGCATCTTGTGAGCAGGATGTGTGAAACAGCCCTCCGTGAGACAGGCACGCCTTGGCCTGGACCTGCTGCACCGTTGTGCTTGGCGGATGGGGATCTGGCCAGCACATGTGCATCTGGGGCTGAGTTAGTGACCCCGAAGCGTGAAGGGCTGTCTGTCTTCCCTCCTGAAGCGCTGCTCTGGGACCTGCTGAGGGCGACTGTGGGAAAGATGCGGTCCCTTTGTTGCCCTTCTCCTGGGTCTCACGGACTGCAGCCCTCCTTTTAAAGACTGCCCACTCTGCTACGTGTGGGGACACAGAGAGCCGAGCGCTTTCTGAAACCGCCTGTCATTTCTGTATCTGGGCGCAGCGTTCTGGCATTTCTGGGTTGACTTCTGTCTGAGTGTTGTATTTTTCTAGCTGTACAAGCGAGTTGTTGCTCAAGTAAGTGATCTCTTTACCTGCTACTAAGGAGGTGAACATTAGATACTTTTTTAATTGAACTTTGTTGTCTCTCTGGTTTCACAAAAACAGTTGGACTTGTGGGAAGGTGGGAAGCTGTTTCTGAGCCTAGTATAACTTTTACTGGAGAACATTTCAACATGGACAGAAATAGTTTGGTAAACCTCTGTCTCCGGCTACCCAGGGGGGTACGTGCTGGTCTTAGTGCATCGCTGCTCCCCCACCGCCCGCTTACTTTGCAGCAAATCCCAGATATCGTGTGTTTTCATCTGTCTCTACCAAGTAGTGTGTTTTTCTCCCCCAAAAGAACATAACTGCAATCCATTCTAACTTAAAAAATGAACAGGAATTCCTTACTATCATCCTATATCCAGCCCAAGTTCCCGTCTCTTCCTGTGGTTGTTCAAATCAGGGTCCACACAGGGCTTCATGTGTACGGATCTGTTTTTACTGCTTCCTGTGATGCTGGCTAACCTGTCCCCCGTATTTCTTCCTGTAAGCATGTCCATACCACTCCATAGGCCATCAGATCAGGTCCCTGTCTTGTTGTGGAATACTTCCGGGTGCTTGCATGTTCCTGCTGCGGGCTTCCCTCAGGCTCTACCCTGCAGGCAGATCCTGCGGAAAGCCTTGCTGGGCGTTTTCTGGGCTGCCAGGGTCGGTCATCGTCCCCAAAATAGCAGGGACATGCTGTTCCTCCTGTGACAGGTTTTATCTGGGCCGCAAATATCTTTGCACCTGTTTGAAAAGCGGAGTCACTTACCAGAAGAGTTATTTCACATGCGCTTGTGAGCTAATTGGATTACTTTCCAGGTTACTTCCCTTTGGAGTTCGCTTGTGAGAAAAGTTCTCTGGAAACGTGAGCCTGATTTCCTTTTCTTAGAGATGTGCATCCCGTAAAGAAATCTCCCTTGTGCGGGTAACACTAAGCAGAGTTCTGGAATGCAGAAGCGATCTGCAACATGGCCAGTATCAGTTGCTTAAGGCAATTTCATCTTTTTTCAATTTTAAAAAAACTATTCATATGTTAATTTTTGAAAATAGTAAGGTTATTTTAAATACAGTTTGAGTGTTTTTAATTCATTATCAGTTGAATTTATTTTTATTACTTTGGGGGTTTTTTTCAAGATTTTATTAGAGGGAGCACGTGCACGCGTGGGGAGGTGGGGGGCAGAGGCAGAGGGAGAAGCAGGCTTCCTGCTGAGCAGGGAGCCCGATGTGGGACTTGATCCCAGGACCCCAGGATCATGACTTGAGCCGAAGGCAGATGCTTAACAACTGAGCCACCCAGGCACCCGACTGTGTTGGTATTTCTTGTGTAATACTACTTTTTTTTTTTCAGGCATATTTGTCATGGTTTCTTAATGGTTAAAAAAAATATGACATTTTTCCTAGAATTCTGTGGATTTTTAGAAAAACCTGAGAATAAACTTTTAAAGGCATCTTTTTCTTATATTGACTTTACCATTTAGAATATGGAAAATTAAATGGAGTTTTACTCAAGGCTGGAAATAGGAATGATTATCTGTGAGGAGGTCTTATGGATGGAGGTAGGGGTTGCATGAGTCAAGGGAGACTTGACTTTGAGCCTCTCCAGTCAGGT